GAGAATGATTCCTGGTCTTAGAGGAATGTCTTATGAGGAGAGGTTAGCTGAGCTGAATCTGTTTAGCCTTGAGCAAACGAGACTAAGGGGGGACATGATCCAGGTATATAAGATTCTAATGGGTCTGGATGCTGTTCAGCCAAATGGCTATTTCAATATTAATTTAAATACTAGAACTCGTGGCCATAAGTGGAAATTAACGGGAGAACATTTTAAAACAAATTTGAGGAAGCACTTCTTTACAAAGCGTGTAGTTAGAGTATGGAATAGTCTTCCTGCTAGTGTAGCGGAAGCTAAAACCCTGGGTTTCTTTAAATCAGAGCTAGATAAGATTTTAACAACTCTTAGCTATTAGTTAAGTTCTCCCCAAATGAGCTTGATGGGCCGAATGGCCTCCTCTCGTTTGTAAATTTCTTATGTTCTTCTTATGATATTATTTACACTTCCAAACAAATACAGTAAATAGGCTGCCAAGGTCAATGCTGTTCTTGTCCCAAAACAGACCGACAGACAGACAGACCGACAGACAGACAGACAGACCGACAAACAGACAGACAGACCGACAGACAGACAGGCACATGCGTAAGACATTTGGTAGGTACCACATTCCTGAAATCACACAGCAACCTCCAAAAGCTTAATGCCTCACGTTAGTTGTCATCTGTGATACCAAATGTCAGTAATTCTGACAGCTCATTTCCCTGACTCTCTATGCCTCAGCCATATAAATCCTCTAATTCCCCACAGATGGAATTTTTAGAGAAACACAGGCATCATAAATATAGACATGTACAGTAGAAACACACACACATACACATACACCAAAAGCAAGACCCCTGCCACTGCCAGACTGTGGGTGTAATGTTGTAATAATGTTGTAATAATGTTGTAATAATGTTGTAAGGGAGCCAAGAGCAAATTCAGAGATTACTGACCTGAACCATATTTATGGTACTCAGAGAAAATCTGTTTTTAATAGAGTCAGCCAAATATGAAGCCAAACTTGCCTTTCTCCAGTAACATCTTTCCACACACACATCTGCTGCTGCCAGATGATTCTGATCAGTGACATGATGACCCTAGGATAGAACAGGGCTCTCGATGACTGCAGACGGGTTCACATCATGTAAAAACTTCATGGACCGGTGCTTTTTGTAAACCCATGTGGTGGTGGTGGTGGGGGGTTAATGGGAGATAAATCAGTCCCTTAAAGACAGTTTAACTGTTTCCATATTCTTTTCACTTGCAATCAAAATGGGAGCTCGTCAGGCACTGTAAAAAAGGCGTGGCTCCAAAATACATCGTTTATTATTTTTATTAGCCAACCCCGCTTAAAACCCCTGGCATTCCGCTGAGCAGTTATTTGCGTGCGAGCAGAATTGTATGTTAATGTTTTTTTTTTCTTTTTTCAGATATACCAAAGTGCCAGAAATGTTTCTACTGTGCAAAGGTCTGCAAAGGATGAACCTCCCTGTACAACATGACCAGTGAAAAGCAGTGAATCAGTTGTTGGAAACTGTATGTAGGGAAAGAAGGTTCTACAGAACGGACTATAATTCTCTTATGTTAAAAACTACACTTGACCAAAGGATCAAGAAGCAAGCTGTCTGTGAGGCTCTACAATGAATTTCAAAAAAAGCAGGAAACCAGTTTAGATACCAAGTCAACCAGGGGAAGACAGGGTCAGAAACTTCAGCAATTTAGAGCAACTGAAGACAGAACGAGAAATCCCTCAGCAGATTCTGTATGGTCCCATCATATCTGGAGGAGCCCCTCGTCCAAAGACCTCTAGATCCTCCAAGCAAGTCCTCATGGCCAGGGGGGCTTTAATGCCCAGAGGATGGCAGTAAACACGAGCCCCCCGTGCTCGACAACTCAAATACCTCCTAGGCCTTTGGACAAGTTAATGTGCTCCTTCTCATGACATAAGTTATGAAAGGAACACTCTGCATTGTGACAACATTAGTTGCTTCTGGGAAGGTCTTCTCAAAAACAGGACAAATCACTACAAAGAGAATAAACCCTTTTAAGAGTGAGGCCACTTACTTTTCTCAATGGCAATCTGTCATAAATGACATTATGGTAATCTTTTTAGTTGTGTACATCTGCTCGTCATGATGCTAGCTGTGTGTGCATTTTTCTATTCATTATTGTTCAATGTATTTAAATGAATACAAAATTAAACGTACACTTTAGATTTTTGAGCAATGAATATGTTAAATACATGTATTGCTAATTTGGCAAAAACAATGGAAAGTAAACTTCCACTGAAAAATTTAAGTGGATATGAAAATGCCATTAAACGAATAATTATTTGGGATCTGAAAGTGTCAAGCTGAATTAACTGACTCATCGCAAAGTGAAATATCCATCAGCAGTTTACGCACAGTAATGTTTACTGTTGTACTGTCACAGAGTATGAATACTCTAAATTGTAAATAGTAAATTCACTTTACTAAATTGTTATATGCAAGAAGTATAAAAAGCATTATAACACGCGGTAAATTTTGCCAACCGGCGTTCCTCACGATACATTTTGCCGGTGTTCTGTCGAGTTGAGCTACTTTATCGAGATAGGCTACCCTAACCCTAACCCCTAAAACCTAACCCTAACCCCAAAACTGTGGAGCTGCACATGCACAGAAAGGCTCGATAGTACGTCTCGATAGGTAGCTCAACTCGTCAGAACACCAGCCCAAAAACCAATTCTGTGCCAGAATATCACAGGGTGCAATTAGCCTAATAATATGTTTTAAGTCTGCAGGGAGAAACCCACACAAGCAGATGGACAACATGCCCACACCCCGCCCCGCCCCGCCAAACCTGAAAATGTGACACAATAATGCTAACCAACAGGGCTAACCACTGAACCTCACCTCTTCGTACATTATATACTGGCATTTAAAGTTTTTAAGGGTTTATTGTCATCCTCCCGGCCTGGCAATCCGCGAAACGCCCCGGCTCAGGTAAAGGAGAGGCGTGGTCATTGCGACGAACCAATCAGAAGAGGCCGTCGCAGATGGTGGGCTGGGTTTAGGGCGTGTCTCCGCGAGCACGCTGATGACGTCGGTGTCCGCTGACACAACGGTTGTTTTGGAGGAAGTGAGAGAGCAGCGCCTCGGCTGCGGACTGGGTCAGCGCGCGGGCTCGTGTGTGTCACGGAAACAAAGAAAATCGTGAAAAAGAGAAAGGAAAATACAGTCATATAGTTCCAGAGACTACTCTGCCGATTGTTTTGCTTTTAAAACGTGTTAACGTTATAAGCTGGTTAGCTAGCTCGTGGCAGCGGAAAAGACCATAGCTAGCCGTAATCATCTGTATCTGCAAGGTAAGTTCGGACGACATAAAATCCAATGGCAGGTATAAACAACTAGACCGCTAGTCACATTAGTACCTGTGTGGACATAAAAGCACATCTGCATATTAATAGCATCTGAGCGGGTGGTGTTTAGGAAAGAAGCGAGGTAGCGGAGCGCGAAAAGGCCGCCTGCTGCCCAGAGCGAAGAAGGACATAGTCCAGGGTATAGATCAGTCCAGGGGTCCCTTGTCTTCCACACCATGTTGGTCCTGACAATACCAGCTACAGCCGTTAGCTTGCATGCTAAGGATTTAAGACGGTTGTGGGGTAAAGCCCGATTAAGTTAAAGGCCCGTAAAACACAATGGTCTGCTAGAAAATATATGCAGTACGATATGTATGTTTTGGAAAGTTGGCAAGGACAAAGATGGCATGGTATTTGCTGTTATGTGGCAATGTGATACTCAAATAAGGCACGCATGCATGCTGAACTTAGTTTTTAATCTACATTTTGTTAACCCAGAATTTGCGATGTGTTTTAATTATATAATGATATTTCTAATTTACTGGAAATACAAGAAACGTTGAAAAGACATTTTGTATTTTTTAATCTCACTACTAAGTACTATTTTATACTACGTTATAAAATCACGTTTTAAACTTAAAATTATTTGTGGAAGTTACATAATAATGACCGGTTTACTAAATAAATACTGACTTAAGTATACTTGACGTTAAGGGTTTGCTTTAACTGGGGCTGTCAAAACCACTGTGGTTGAAAGACAGGGATCGGTTGAAATCTTTAAATGTAGGCTTGCGTAACAAGAACTGCAGGATGAAGTCACATGAACACCGTTAACATTATACAGTAGTAAAATTTGAATGGGGTTTGGAAATGAGATTACAGGGGAAAACAAAACTCTAACATTAGTAACTAGTAGTTGCACAAGAGTAATAGGAGGAGAGGGGAAAAAACCTGGGTGGCTGCCCTCCCAGGCATGCTAACCTTATCCAAGTCAGAAATAAATACTTGTATGTTGTTTGCACTGCATACATTTAAAGTGATTTCTGCTTTTCAGGAAAACTTGGCAGCTACTTCTTCTTAGTCTGGCTGGCTAGTGGAGAACCTGGGTAAACAAAAAAATAGGGGGGGGGGTCGATTTACAAGAGTCCTCTGGGACAGTAACTCAAACTGCAAGCCTAGCTGTGGAGTAGTAAAAAGAAAGTCCTTAAATCAGAGTATCAGCAAAAATCTGGTTCAAGGGTCCGTGGCCTGTCACCTGGAAACTGTTGTTGGAGCTCACAGAGCTTAGTCTGGTGTGGAGACTGGTACATATCAGTGTGTGAGGTCTGCATAGACAGAGCAAAAAACACACACGCACACAGCTGTATGACTGCCAGTGGCGGGTCCATTGACATTCAATGCATACATCATTAATATACAACTCTGAAAAAACTTAAGAGACCACAGCACAATCTTTTGTTTCACTCATTTCTCAGTTTATGGGTGTGTCTGTGAAGAGTGTGTATGTGTGTGTGTGTGTGTGTGTGTGTGTGTGTGTGTGTGTGTGTGTTTTTTATATATATATATATATATATATAGTTTTTTTTTTCCGCAAACTGCAGCCTGGTTCTTCTCAGTTTCTCATTAATGAAGGGCTTCTTCCTTCCTTTATGGGACTTCAGTCCTGCTTCTAGGAGCCTGATACACACTGTCCTAGCAGTGCACTTCACACCTGCACTTAATGTTTCCCATTGTTTTTGAAGGTCACTTGATGTCATCCTATATTCATGAGAAACTGTTGGATAAGTGAACAGTCATCATTAGAAAGTCACTTCTGCCCTTTACCAGGCTGGTTTCTGGTCATTTCCAGTGTCTCCTGTTTCACTTTATTCTTATGTACTGCTGTCTTAGAAACTTTGAACTTGGAAGCATCCTGCTGCTCAGTGTAGCCTTCTGCCAGCAGAACCACGATTCAACAAGGATTTAAAAATGCATTTTTCTTTTTAAAATTTAGTGGTCTCTTAATTTTTTCTAGAGCTGTATTTTAGCTTGGTAGGTTATGGTAACATTCAGCCTTTCAGTGCTCAGCTGAAGCTACTGTCTGCTAAACAGTCTTAATATAGTATACAGAATTTGCTTAAGGAAAACTTTCTGAAAAGTGGCTCACTGGAGGACACAATTAAACATAAATCACATGCAGCATCTCCTACTGAAAAACAAGGTAACAATTTTGCAGTGAGCGTACAGTTACTGTGTAAATTTAACCTTTTAATCACATGCTACAGAATTCAAGCATGCTTCCAGGTCCATGGTCAGTGAGGTGTCTTTCAACATACTTTTATTAAATGATTTAATGTGTATCACTGGAATATTTCATCCATAAGGGTTGACTGGTGGCCTTAAGTACCAGTTCTGGTGATTGTGTCAGCACACAGTGACCCGATGCCCATTGCAGTGCCACTGAGGTAGTATGGAGACTTGGTAGCCAGGCATGGGTGATGATAATGATGGTGATGATAATGGCTTAAAGGGAAATGGTCACATGGGACTCCTGTATTGCATATTGTTCTTTTAGCCTGTTTTTATGTTATGCCAGTCTTGGTCTTTTAACCACATCTACAATTTGCATCAGCCTTTTCTTATGACTTTGATCCTTTTTTTCCCCAGTTGTTCTTCCAAAAAAAAAAAATTTTTTTGTTATGCTGCTTGTTAATGCTGCCATTTTTGATAGGAATCTTCATGAGGAAGATAGGCGGCTCCACTGCCTTTTTTGTAAATCACGTAGACTTCAGATTTAATTACTTCCAATTAAAAGTGGACTTTTAAATACAGTTTCACTTTGAGGCAATAATGCATCTTTTGCAAGACAAGCACAGGAGGATGAATGCAAGCTATTGAATGATAGGATGTGCAAAGGAAGAACAAAGAGATGATCTGCTTATATATTGATCATTTAAGCCTTTTGAAGCTTATAATAAAAGCATAAAATGAGAAGCGAGGCTGCTCTCTTGTGTAGGGGGGTGTGGCTTACCAGCCTGAATAGAGCTCAGTCGCCTGGTGCCATCTGTTTTAACATCTTCATTCCTCATTTGATGCAAATCTCATGAGTCAGGCACAGAACTTTGCATGTTACTGCACATGCACAGGATTCGCACTTGGCTGCTGTTAATCTGTGTCTTTCTCATTTCTGCTTAGTTGTTTTAGTTGTAGCTCTGCTAGGTCCCTCTGGGCCTGATGCATTTACATCTCTGGCGGCAGTCGTGTCATATTTGGAGATCGAAATATACAAGACATTGGAGTTGCGTTTACATGTATGATACATGTGGGCCCATTTCTGCATGGAAAATGTGATATTTGGACACAATTCAACAAACCCCTGCAAATCATAAATTTGTATTTCTAAATGTTTTTTTTTTTCCCCCAGAAAAGCTGTTGCTAAAGTTGAATGTATGCAGGGAAAGTTGGTTGTGTGTGGGTGGTCTTTGGTTGGACCTGCCAGGTTGGTGCACGTCAACAGTGATGTAACAATGTTTGTTTTGCACATTGATGGAGATATTAATAGAAGCGTTTTCTTCCTGTTTTGTAAATGCCTAAACATCAGGGACGGTGCTAGTGAAATTGTAACTTACTGAGCTTTATTACTGCAGGGTGTAAAAGGGTTTTGTGGTGCATTGTCTGTAGTGCTAGTACTAATCTGTAATAATCGTTTTCTGTTGGACCGGCAGACCAGTTTAATCAATCTCAGGAAGTCCAGATTATTGATTATTTTGTTTAGCACAGCCTCACTACAGTCTCCTCCGGGCAGGGTGCCATCGCATGACCGCAGGGGGTGAAGGTCTCCTAGCGTTCATAAGATGTTGTGCGAGTCATGTCGGAAATGGAAATTTCCAGTGTTTCTGAGAAGACACTTCACGCTTTAGGCGATTCTGAGCGTGTCTGTGTGAGACGGCGTGTGATGCGTTCCCGTTAGGACATCCAGCAGCTGTGAGAGCAGCAAGCGTTAGCGAGCCGCCCATGAGTTAACATCAGCGCATGCTGCAGCCTATGGCCCCTTCATTAGTTGGTTTCCTTCCAGCAGAATGGAACCAAGGGTAAATGAACCTAATAAGGTCCTGCAGCACACAGAGATGTGCTCTCTCAATAACCAGGAGTCACTGGGTCTCTCAAAATGCACTTGTAACTTATAAAAAATAAATTGGTTTGGCATACGTGCATGCACCACGAAAATCAGGTTTAAGAATGGAACCAAGGGTAAATGAACCTAATAAGGTCCTGCAGCACACAGAGATGTGCTCTCTCAATAACCAGGAGTCACTGGGTCTCTCAAAATGCACTTGTAACTTATAAAAAATAAATTGGTTTGGCATACGTGCATGCACCACGAAAATCAGGTTTAAGAAACCCTGGAAGGAAGGCCCTGTGGTGCTTAGGACAATGCACTTACCCTGCATATAAACAAAATGATTTCTTAGCCTTAAATCCATGTTCACTTTTTCTTGCTGCACTGCACCTGTAAGTTCCC